GTCACGGGGTTCAGCTCCCTAACTTCTCGAGCCCTACAGAGGAAGGTGTGGTGGGGAGGAACTGCTCTGCGCTTCCTTGGAGTGATCTGACTGCCCTGCCTAATGCTGGAAGCCTAACTCTGGGCATGGCTCTGTAAAATGGCTCATTCCATTTGCTGAAAGATGGTCCTCAAAGAAATTGTTCAGTACTTTATAGGCAGCCTCTAGAGGATGCAATAGGAGATGTTTGCTGCTGTCTTTGGGCTGATTCTGAGAAGCTGCTGAATTTCACTGGTAAAATTCAGTGAATGCATGACCCACTCGTGGTAGGAAGTTCTTCAGAGCCAATATCATGGATAAGTTCCAGAAAAATGCCTCAGGCTCACTGCCAGACATTTGGGGAGCAAACAGCATACATTCCCTCAGCCTCTTTTGAATCTCTTTTGTAAAGAATTCCAGCTCACTCAATTGTGCGTATCTCTGAATACTAATTTAAAGGAATTCTGAAGCATGGCAGGGATTTCCCATTTAAAAATCTTATTCAATATGGTTAACCATAATTTATTGTATATTTGCAAGAAGGTAGAAGAGAGGGAGAGGATTTTGAATGTTTACAACACAAAGAAATGGTACATGTTTGAGGTGATGAATATGCTAATTACCCTGATTTGATCATTATACACTGAATACATGTATCAGTCTGTATTTCATCTAAATGTACAATTCTTATGGGTCAACTAAAAATAAAAGGGAATTTTTTAAAAGCAATTGTATTTAAGTACAATAACCTGTATGGAGTCAATTTTAAGAAAATGGTAACTGAACTCCTGCAAACATTTCTAGATGTTTGTCTCAGGTTAAAAGGGCATCATGGGAGCTGGGCATGGTGGCTTACACCTGTAATCCCAGCACTTTAGGAGTATGAAGTGGGTGAATCACCTGAGGTTAGGAGTTCAAGATCAGCCTGGCCAATATGGTGAAACTCTGTCTCTACTTTAAAAATACAAAAATCAGCTGGGCATGGTGGCAAGCACCTGTAATCCCAGCTACTTGGGAGGCTGAGGCAGGAGAATCACTTGAACTCAGGAGGTGGAGGCTGCAGTGAGCCGAGATCACGCCACTGCACTCCAGCCTGGATGACAGCAAAACTCCGTCTCAAAAATAAATAAATAAATAAATGGCCTCATGGGAACCTAGTTTGTTCTCCACTTTCATATTTTGTCTTTTTACTTAGGTCCAACATCTGAAAAAAATTAAAGATACATTTTTATTTGAAAAATTAACCAAATTTTCATATTTCTTCCGATGTTTGGTATCATAAGTAATATAATAGACACCTTTGTGCATAAATCTTATTCCGTAGTCCTAATTATTTCCTTGAGATGGATACTATGTGGGCATGACTGGATCAAAGTATACCGTCGGCTTTCCATGACTTGACAGTGTGGCGTCTTCCCGACCAGAAGGGCCCTGGCACTGAAGTGCTCGACCATGGGGTGATTCGTGGTTTAGTGATTCCTAGTTCACCAGTAGTTTGCACAGCCGTTTCACCAGCTTTGCGAAATCCATGGGTAAAACTGCTGTGGCATTCTAGCTAGAGCTCTATCATATTAAAATTCATAACACTTGGAAGTGGAACTATTTCCACTTTCCAAATGTTGTATATGACTGAAAAAGAAAACTCATTATCAACCTTGCAGCTCATTAGCAGACTCTTCCTCCGCACAAACAGCCACTAATTACCACTGGCAAGTCGCTCTGGTTCTCACCTCTCCTTGGCTCGCTTCTGGGCATGACACTCCCAAAAAACCACTCTTGATCTAATGATGCTGTGTCCCTCGAATTTTCAGATGTGGTGGATTAGACAAGAACGCTGCTCAGACCTGAGCTGAAATTCCTGTGACCTCCTCACTGGCTGTGTGATCCTGGGCTGGTTATCAAACACCCCTAAGCCTTACTTTCCCTGTCCATTATGGTCACAGTGTCACCTGGCTGGCAGGGCTGTCTGAGGGCTGAAGGACGCTGTGTCTGTGAAGTTGCCTGCTATACAGACTCAGTATGAGGCCCCCTTCCTGCCTCTCCCCCTTGTAAGGAATGACACTAACTCCCCATCCCATTCAGGCAACAATGTTTCAGAGGAGAGAGTGTGCCCCATTGTCTCCTGGAATTAAAACTTCATACCTTGGCTGGGCACAATGGCTCACGCCTGTGATCCCAGCACTTTGGGAGGCCGAGGCCAGTGGATCACCTGAGGTCAGGAGTTCAAGACCAGCCTGGCCAATGTAGTGAAACCTCCTCCCTACTAAAAATACAAAAATTAGCCGGTCATGGTGGCGCACACCTGTAACCCCAGCTACTTGGGAGGCTGAGGCAGGAGACTTGCTTGAACCCGGGAGGCGGAGGTTGCAGTGAGCCAAGATCGCACCATTGCACTCCAGCCTGGGTGACACAGTGAGACTCCATCTCAAAAACAGCAACAGCAACAACAACAACAACAAACTGCATATCTTGTGATACACCTTTCAGACTTTGGATCCAAAGATTTGATTTAGATTTAATTAGGATGAGAATCAAGAGCACTAGTCCGATGAGGACCGGGAGTGTATTTTCATTCCATGATCAGAACACAGGCATCCCCATAGTAACCAAATCCAGCATTCCTCCCAGCCCTGCGTGAACTCTCAGACATCCTCCAACACCTTGGCCTCTGTCTCCACACCTGCTGTCTACACACAGGGCTGAGACTGCCCTCGCTTCTCTCCAAACCCTTCCTTTTTCCATGGACTGATGGCTAAGGACTTATTCTCAACGCTTGCAACATTTCTCAGCTTTTCAACAAACCTCTACATCAACAAGGAGATGTCCAAGGACACTGATGCTCAAAACTCACATCTCCATCTTTGGGCAAACACGTTGAAGATCAATGCAAGGAAAGACAAAATGCCAAGATGTGTGCTCTAGGCTCCCTCATTACAGCTCCTAATCGGGCTATTACCAGGACAGTCCTGCTGCCAAATAGATTTAGAACTGTGAGACGAGGCAACAAATGTGAGAGAAGTCACCTTTGCTCATTTCCACCTGCCAGCATCATTTCACAAAGCCCCTGATTGTGTCTCCAGAAAGACCCCTGAAGCCCAAACAGGATAGAGCACACGGCCCCCACATCTCTTGCCTGAGTCACTACATTCTTTACAAGATAAAAGCACCAGTCCTTGCCTTTTCCTACACAGAAGTAAGGTCTGAGGGGGTTAGTGATTATGCCTTTGCAAACCATAACCAGATGTGCCCTTGCACCCAAGCTGTGATGAGATGTTGCACAGGCTGATCATCCACCACCTGTGCACAGCAGCGGGATGAAACACTGCGAGGAGCCCCTGATAAACCCTCTCCAAAGGGCGGCTCCCAGGCTACAGGCCTCAGGCTGCAGTCCCCTCTAAGACCTCTGAACAAAATTAACTTTAGTTCCTTAAAAGCTTGATTTTATTCCCCTTTAATCAACAGGACACAGTGTGTCAGAGTATTCACCAGGGCATATACTAGGAAACACAGATCCTCCAAAGACGAAAGCATCAATATTAGTTTCTACTATGATTACACTTTTAAATATAAAGTTTACTGTGAAAAATTGTAGCAAGATAGAGAAATTCCAATACCTACGCAAAAGGAATGTGCTTCCTTTTTTTAACTTGACTTTAATGCTGTTTTTTTCAATTTAAAAAATATTTTCTGGGCCAGGCGCGGTGGCTCAAGCCTGTAATCCCAGCACTTTGGGAGGCCGAGGCGGGCAGATCACGAGGTCAGGAGATCGAGACCATCC